ACAGCAAAATAAAGGACGCAGTTGTATGCACAGACTCGTGGTTTAACAGATGTCTCAGCAGTAGCTATCTTAACTATGTCGTTTATGTAGATGATGAAGAGTAATCAACCCAGTTCAGCTCTGATTCAAGTGGTACTCTGGACATAACAGTGAAATGTAAAGAGTGAACATGTTTAAATCCAACAACTTGGACTCTTGAGCTTAGGTAATACTGTATAGAGGCTATAAGTTTAGGGTCGTGAATTATTGCCCTGAGTTTATTATGACATACTGTGTCGAAAGCTTTACTGTAGCCAATAAAAATGTCATTAAGCTGTCTTCGAGCACCATGCGTAGATGCAATATCACGGGAAAACTCGAGTAACTGTGTTATTGCAGAAAAAGCCAGGGAAATCAGGTTGAGCATGGGACAGAATATTTAGAATGTTCAGACGAGCCCTCAGTGATATGTTTATGAATGACATGCTCCAGGAATATGCAGGATGTTGATATTAATGAAATTGGCTTATAGTTGCACACCAGCTGTTTATTGCCATTCTTATGTATGGGAACAACCTTGGCACACTTCCAGAGTAATGGAACAATAGATATCCCAACCAGCTAAAAAAGTGACTGATAAATACCAAGCAGTCCATTCAGAATAACATTTTAAAAATGTATCAGGTATGTTATCTGGCCCTTTGCTTTTCATTGTATCAATTTTGTTTATAATGTTACATACTCCAGTAGCAGTGATTAGCATGTTGGGAGAAGGTAGTGGTGAAGAGTTGGTGCAAAAAGTAGAGCTGCGCCCATCATCACAAGTGAACACTTGTGAGGTATAGTAAGGTTATCCAAGTATGGTTATTTATCTAAAATAATAAATGAAGGACAGCTCTGACTTGTTTGTCTGGTGGCATTCCATATCTTTGATAGCTTGTCCTTTTGTGAACAAGAGGGTATAATTAAAATATAAGCTTTTCAAACTCAATATAGCAGATTTTAAGCTACTTTTGATTATAGTTGATATAGAAGATTTAATTGGATTGGCAATATTAGGTTGTTTGCAGAGATGCTTTGTATGAAAAATTGAATGTATATTATCAAAAGTGTACCAGGGATACTTGGAATTGTGCTTTATACACCTAGTTAGAATGTAATTATTAATATATTGATTAACAATTGTATTAAAATGGTTCACTAATACATCAGCAAGATAATGGCTGGCATTACTGAAAAAACTCATCAAAAGAGGATGCTAGCATCTCGATCACAGAGTTCTCATCAGCGTGCTCTTAAGTTCAAAACAGTCTTCATGCTGAGATGGCTTAGGTACAGTCACTAAATTAAAACCGGCTGGTGCCCTTGTGGTCTTACAGGCCTTGGATAATCTCACAATAATAACCACATTGTCTGCATTGCATATTAAAAAAAACAATACCAAGAATTTCATTTTTGCTGGTTACAGAAGAGAAAATTTGCGTCAGGTCAAAAGGAATAGCTACGTCAATCAAATAATCACGGGTAACTGTGCGATGACCACGTGCTGATGAATTTCACCAGGTCTATGGCGAGTGTATTGAAGTCACCAGTGATTAACAATTTGGAACGGTTTACTTTTTGATTGGCTATATAATTGATAAAATGAAAGAAGATGTCGAAACCCGCATCAGGTGGACAGCTCCAATAGCCAACATGTGACCACAAATCCTAAACACCATATAGATTCATAGTTGGTGACGTCGGCTTTTGGCATCAGTGCGCCTCATTCACAGCTCTGCAAACGGCCACTTAAAGGAACACTAAGGTCAAATAACAACTTACATCAGCATGAGAACTCAATGTACGACAAGGTCTAAAATGACAATATTATGAATGGCAGTGCCCTACTTACCGAAACATTAAGGTAAGTGCATAAGAATATATTCGCCGCAGTAGGATATTATCCAAATAATCCCGATGATGTCGAACAAATTGCCTATAATTAATCACTAGTAATTGATCTAGCTGCACTATATAAAGAACCTTCCATGCATCAAGAGACGTAATAAAATGCTGCTTGTTCGTTTCTGTTTGATTCATGGAAAAAAGAACTGCCAGACTTTACTATGTGGAATGATGCGAGTTGTTTAAAAATTCAATTTTCGCGTGGTTAAACTGTACAGGTCGTGCCATCTAGCGGGGCCAAGTTGAACCAAACACACCTGTAACTTCGAAGACCATGGCTAAAAATTGTTCAATGGTCAATGTTGCTACTGTGGCTTCCGCTACTTTCCCTTTACTGCTACTATAGTGTCTGCAGCAGCGCATTAAAGCCGGGCAACATTGTGCACGGCTACAGTGATGTAATACATTTCATTGAGGCAGGTAAATTGAAGTGCTCTAATCCAATGCGGACCACTAAGATGCAATTTTATATCAAGATAAGCTCTTCCTCAGCTCAAAAGTAACACTTTGAAATTTCTGGACCGCTATTTCAACAATCAGCACCAACTTAATAGTTGCTTTTAGTGTCCCTTTAACATAGCTGACCACTTTGCAGCATCTGAGGTGGTACGTTGATGGCTGTCGTGTTTTTCAACTACAGGGCTATACCTCTTTTAATTGTCAATGAGCAAAGCTTCAATTCAGGTTAGTTGGTATGGCATTGTAATGGGGTTGCTTCAAGTCAAATCAGACGACACGATGTCCAGTGTCGATCATACACTGGCCCAACCTGTGGCCGGTTGCATTGTGTATAACTGGAAAGCTCAAAGCAGCAGCTGATGGAGGTCCAATTAAAAGGCCTCCTGACACCTAAATTGCAATCTCTAAATATTTATGTTGGCTAAGGTACTTCGCTGCTGCCCCGCAGGTCGCGGTATCAAATCCTGGCTGCGGCGGCTGCATTTCCGATGGAGGCAGAAATGTTGTAGGCCCGTGTACTCAGATTTGGGTGCCCCAGGTGGTCAAAATTTCTGGAGCCCCCCCACTACGGAGTCTCTCATAATCATATGACGGCTTTGGGATGTTAAACCCCCACATATCAATCAATTAAAATTTTATGTTCTTTTGACTGTCCAGCTTACATGAAGACTTCTGACTTCTTCATTGTCATCAGGCTCAGCATAAAAAAAAATGCACAAAATTTTTTGCAAGTGTGTTGTGGGTACCACATACCAGGGTTCTGCGAAGAAAGACAAAGAATTGCATAGTGGAGGCCTTTGTTCTACAGAAAAATACTGTTTGTGGTGTAGTGGGTGCCCTTGAAGTGTGCTTGTAGCAGTTATCCAAAGAATGTATAAAAATGGCTCTTGAAGGGCTTCTTTTCCAGCTTTCAGTGTGACAGCATGTGCATTCTGCACAGGCCTGACGGTTTTTTTTTTTTTTTGGTTAGATTGGTAGGGAAATGGTGTCATTGAATTGGGAAATTCTGTGTTATAGTTGCTATGCATGATACTTCGACGTTATGTTTTATTTGGGAATACTCTACATGAAAAGTGCTACAGTAGCACTGAATTATTGAGCCTTGTGAAGTGCATTTGAAATATTAGGCATAGACGTGCAGCAGAACTACAAGGGTTCTGAGCTCTGAAAAAAAGGGCTGTGAAAGGAGTGTACTGTACGAGCAAATATATTGTGCACAGTTTTTTTTTTGCTGTAGGTAATGCAGTAAATATAGCAAAAAGAAGCGACCACCTTAAAAGCAGTAACTATTTGTGTCAGCATGGTTAGCTCATAATTCAGTAGCAATTCAAAAGCTACATTTGATGTTAGAAAGGTATTTTTAAGCTTGATAATATTGCTTGTCATATTGACCATTAATATCTTTTGCCCCTCTTTCTCTTCTTAGGTGCATGCCACGAATAGTCAGAAGATTCTGAAGACACTGTTGGATACAGAATGTTATATCATAAACTGTGGCCTACATCCTGTTGAATATGTGATGTTAATTTTAGTAATTGCCATGTTTTATAATTATTATGCATCTCTGTAATCAATGCTTTTGGTGCCTTTCATAGTACACAATAATATTTCCTCATTTTCTTGTTTTTCTCATGTACTTCGTCTCTATGTTTTGACATGTTCACACTTTGTATCGTTGCTCTGTTGTTTGTGTGATCCAAGAGAGTGAAGTTGATTGCACTTAAAAGTTTACATATTGCAGTCAACATTTATTATTAACGAAACAAGTGAAATCAGCGAGAATTGGATATTTCTTTCAATAGTTCACCAGGCATTTGTCGCATTCCCTCTATTTATTCTTCACTTTTTTTTTACGCCCATTAAAATAGGGATCCTCTTGCTCATTGAACTATAGTGCTGAAGAAATAGGTACTATTTCTGCTGTTCTACGGAGCGTTTTTGAGAGAGGCACTTGATTTAGAATACTGCATTTTGGGGTATGCTTGTACTGTGTAGAGGGGTGTCAAAAGATGTCGAGACACTGTAGCAAGTCTGCATAGGGCATTAAATCATGGTTAACATATTTTCCACCTAATGGTGTGTTTCACAATTTCGATGCTTTTGTAATTGTATGTAAGTGTTGTTATAAGCAAGTGTTAAAAAAAAAAATCAGCATATCCACGAAATTAATGATGAGTGGGGTGAAGCGTCCACCAATCCATCCATGCTTCTGGCCGTGTGTCCGTCCGTATGTGCGCCCGTTCGTGCGTGCATCCATGCATCTGTTCATCTGTGCATCCACCCGTGTGTCTGTCTGTCCGTGCGTACATGCGTCTGTCCATCTAGTGAATACTCCAAGTACAGCCATCTCGCTTCTATTTACCATATATTCATCACATACAATTACCGCCATCCAGCGGATGATCCAAGTACTAAACGAGAGTATTTACCACATTTCTGCTGTCAGTGCTTTGTTAACATCGAGAGTGTTACAAGGACACTGTGCCATGTTTTCATAACATGTCAACATGCGTATGTGTGCCCAAGGACGGGTATGTGCCACAGGTTATGTACTTCGTCAATGGGGGACACACAAGCCATGCCATAAGGAGCTTCACCCCTAATTAAGCAGCTGCTTTTTATTTTTGAAATAAGGCTTCTTGATAATTTTAATTAATGTTCATTAATATTCATCCTATCTATCTTCTTTGATATTTTATAACTATGGCTATACTGACTGCATTCCTCGAGGGACGTAATGCAAGAACACGTGTGTGCAGGTTTAAGGACTTGTTAATGAACTCCAGGTCATTTCTAAATTAATTAAGATTTCCACTCTGCCGCAAGAATCACAGTCATAGGTACCTGGCGCTGCATGAAACCCTATAATTTAATTTCTTTTAAAATGAACCACAGTACTTTAGCTAAACTTATCCCATTTTCATTGTGCAGCGTCATGGCTGTCCGGTCGTCCAGCAACTACAAAGAATTGGCATCTGAAACGCTATCACCACTGCACCTTCTGCGGCTACGAGGCGGATAGTCCATTCCACCTGAAACAACACATGAGAGTTCACACAGGCGAGCGGCCATTCCAGTGCCATTTGTGTCCACAGAGCTTCAAACAGAAGCCCGCACTGAACAATCATCTGTTCACCCACACGGGCGAGCGGCCGTGTAAATGCCACCTGTGTCCCCAGAGCTTCTCGCGAAAGTTCGCGCTGATAAGGCATCTGCGCACTCACACAGGCGAGCGACCATATCAGTGCCCTTCGTGCCCACAAGCGTTTAAGCAGAGTAGCCATCTCAGTGCCCATCTTCATCAGCATGAATGCCGGTGATTATTCTGATGCAATTTTTTTGTTTGAGCTATTTTGTAAAGGTTCGTAGGAGTGATTGTTTCAGAGTGCAGAGGCAGCGATGGGTCACATAAAACATTACAGCGATGTTTAAACCATTGTAGCCTGTGGTCGGGCCCCTCCCGGCAATTCAACCTGGCCACAATAGTCTGTGATTGGGCTCTGCTCAACAAGCTTTGTAGTGGCTCACTAACGCATTGCCTTTTCCTCACTGCATTATGGCCATCTTTAAATGTACAAGTAAAATTCTTTCTTTTTTGTTTGATTTCTCCTGTTTCAGACCTGAATTAATCGAAGGTGGGTGAAGGTTTCGGACAGCGAAGGGTTTACGAAACTGGACAGTAGGTGCGATGGTGCATGCTCTTGGGAAAATAAAAGTGCAAAATTTGGCACATGCATAAGCTGAGGAACACAGGAGAGTAATGTTTGTCCCGTGCTTCCTAATGTGACATAATGAATGTGTATGTTATTTTTGCATTTAAATTTTCGTAAAATTAAAGCTGTGGGTTTTGCAGTGACAACATGGCTTCATTATTGGCAGTAAAGCATTGTTACGAAGTTAAGTGATGGGGCATTGTTTTGTTGCTCTTTTAGTGCTTCTTTGCAGTGTGCTGCTCTAGCCAGTGAAAATTTTCATGTTATGAGCTGAATAAAACTTGTGTATTTCTAATGATGAGCATCCAAACTTCTGTGTTGTCCACACCGAATCCTTTGTGAAAGCCACTCACATCAGCACACATAACAAAGAACCATTATACAAATGAGCAGATGATTGGCTTCGATGGTGTACATCATTTAATTATTAGTCTGAATTGGTGATCTAGGTATAGGTATCTCATGCGTTAAAGCTCTCCAGATCACAAGGGTCAACAAACATTATTGATATAGCAATTATAAGGACACTTCAATTGAAATCTGATTGTTGGTGTGGTGGTTCACGTCAAGTACAACTTGATAAAGTTTTATTACGCCTTGCATTCGAATCTTGTGGTATCTCAAAGAACAGCATGCAAAATAGCATACTGCCATGACACATACGAGCCGTTGGGGAGAGCAAAGTGGCTCGCATTGGTCGGCGACAAATGTAAAGCTCACTCATGAAATATATTTTGCCCTTGGAGCTCACTTGGATTGCAAGCACTAAAATTTCTCGACCGTACCCAGTAGGACCCAGACTGGCTTAAATCTTTCTTGAACAGACTCACTCGAACTCACAATCGCCAAAATGTCGCTGTCCAGTAAGAACATCTTTATGGAAAGGGACAACCCCACAAGAAATTTTTATTAGGAACGCCCCATTAAGTTATTTCAGGGAGGGGGTGTCAGTTCACGTCTCCCACAACCTGTCGCTTGTGCCTCTGGTCAATTAATGTTGAGCTGGCTGGTGCGTTGAGGTTCGTGTGAGTAGACGTGAGTATAAGTGTGAGCTGACGCTAGGCTGATAGTAATGCTGAAGTAGAGTAGTCACCGCGATAGATCGGCAGAAAAAATGTGGAGTTTGCTCAGAGTCACTCAAGAAGTCGGTTTTGTGCTTGGGGCTCATTTAGATTTGGCCACCATTTTCCTCAATCGAAACTCCCTACAATTTTATCAACTGTGCTCGCCAAAACAGCACCCGCCCGAATTCGCTCAGACTCTCGGCTCAATCTGAGTCTCGGTGATTGCTAATGAGTGGACTCATGAGAGTTTGCCAGACTGTGAAAGTGAGGAGAAAGAGGTAACTGAGGGAAGTGTGCTGTGCAAATTGAGGGAGGCAATGTACAAAGCTGCACAAGAGAGGAAGAAGGCAGGTATGAGGAATGGGTGGAGAAATTGTAGACGAAGCGTGCATATGCTTGCTACAGTTTCTTCATTGAACAATAATTTTCCTAAGAGGCAATTCACACACCTTACTTTCTTAGTATGCTGTGGTCGTTCCGAAGCTTAAGCAAGCCCACATATCTGGCTGGATCATGTGTGCAGTTTGGTGGAACATTTGACAACTTACTTCTTATTGCATGATAATGCTCATCAGGGACCTTTGCAATGATGGTTTCATGAAAATGACTGATATAGATCTGCTTCTTTTGGGATTGCACACAAGGATTGCAGTTGTACTGGGCTAGGCCAGCTGATTATTATTACTTTTTATGCTGTCATCGATGTAATCTTGACTTGGAAGTTTAAAGTTCAGACACTTACATCAGAAGGAATTTTACCTTTAGTGGCTGGATGTGCAACGACAGTACATAGTCATCACAAGAATTGTTTACACCAGTCGTTATTCTAAAGAATGCATTCCACTCCGCAAGGACTGTACAGTGCTCTTGGAATGTAGTATGCCAATTCAGGGCTCATTTCAGTGCACAGTCTGTTTCCACTGGGTGCAGTGTGTGTAAAGTCAGATGCAGCATCATCGTCACATCCAGCATTACCTTTAGAGGCCTCTTTGATGGCCACACGGCACTGCTATCTCTAGCAATTGCACTTACAAGCTGTTACGCTTGGTGTTTTGAAGCATTTTATTCTGTGAATATTGCACATAATGAGTGCCACAGCAGTGTCCTTGTCATGTAATGTGCTTTGTGTTATAGATTTTATGCATACACAAGTAGCACTCACGTTAAGAACCGGTTTCCAAATGTAGCTTCATGTAAGGTGCAATGTTCAATGAAATATTCGCATAAAATAATATTTCGCTGATGATTATTCAGCAAATGCTCCGAAAGTTGCCAATCATGAAGACTCAAATTTAGATATGACAGCATAGCCAGTTCACAGTTCCTGAGTACTTTGAAACTATGTTTTATGTAGTTACAATTTCTTTAGCCCTGATTATTCTTTTGTTGTTCAGTGATGGTGATGTTTTTTTCCCTTCTTTCTCCTCATACGTGCTTCTCCTCACTTAATATAAAGAAACTATTGCATTATTATTGAATGGAGAACATTGCTTTATAAAATATTGCCTGTCTTGCATTGAATGTCTTATGTTACTTTTTGATGCCTTTATTTTCTAATTGCCTTTCACTTTCGCAACATGTTCGTTGAGTGGTTGGCTTTCTACACAATATCATTTCATCTTTTTTTATGTTTATGTTGTTATTTTTGTTTTATAATACTGGGGCGAAGTTCTTGGGGCTTTCGGTGGCCAGGTAGCTTGAGCAGAAAATTACTGAAAAGTGGTCATTAATTCTGTTATGTGTTTGTAAAATCTGTCTTTTTTGCATTGTCATCTTTTCCCTTTAAAATAGGTGCATCCTTGCTCGTTGAGACTTTGCACCCAAGAAATAACATACGCAAAGGTTGAACGGCTGCCAAGACAAGTTTGCTTGTTGAAACGCTGGCTCAAATGACATTTCCAGTTCAATGAATTCTCGTACTTGAGCTTCCATGTTCTCCTGAACTTCAGTACCATAAAGAAATACAGTGAAATCTCGGTAGAACTGAACCCCAAATTAACAAACTTTTCAAATTAACGAACTTGTAAAATAAATCCCGTGCCAACTGCTAATAGTTTTAATGTAAAATTATTTCACTACTACATACATCAGAATACTGAACTTTTCAGAATAACGAGTGTTAACTTAGTTCCACATTATATTAACAACGCCTCAGTACTACAAACTTATGTTCTGAAATCCATCGCGACCACCGGAGCAGTACGCAAGCAGACCACAAAGCGAACGGACGCCTTGCTTCTCGGAGGACGCCTTACGGTGTGCAGGAAAAAAAAAACGAAAGGGCAACTTTCTTTTCTTTCTCTTTGTTGAAACTCCGATGCTGCAGGTTTACGAGCGAGCGCAGAGGCGAGGGCAACACGAGAGGGCAAGGTCAGTGAGGCAGAGTGGGAGTTGCGGAGCAGGAAGCATGGGTGCGAAAAACCCAAGACAGTGAAAGAGCAGAAAATGAAATGCGAGGAATTTTTTTTTAGCACCTTTTTTTTTCTTCGAAAGAGGCGATGACAGCCGTGACGCTTCGGGTTTTTCTTTGGCCTGGTTTTTTCGGTCGTGTTCATCTCTTTTCAGGTGATTAATTATCGGGTTCGCAAAGCAAGTCGGCATTCGCGCTGCAATGATACTACAAATGAGTTCATCTCTGCTTGCGACGAAGAAGCGGAAGCAGTTTTCGCTAAGTGAGACAATGGATATTCTTCAGAAACTGGAAGGCAAAAAGCAAGCTGTTATGACCAAAGAACCGAATCGCACCTCAGGAATGTGTATGAGCTGGAGGCCTTCGCAGCTGCAAAGTTTGTGCTGCTCGTGCCAAAAAAATATATATATACTTCTTTAAGGTAAACGTGAATTTTTTTGTGTTTACTTGTGCACTTGTTTATTTCTCGTGAAAAACGAGTTCAAGGACTCATCGTTGTAAAGGTAAGTCATTTTGGTCCGTGAAAAATAAGAAAAATAAGTATTTATGGTTAATTTTCCAGCTTTCACTATAACGACCTTTCAAAATAACGAACGAATTTCCATGGTCCCCTGAAGTTTGTTATACCGAGATTTCACTGTAGGAAGTTCTGCCTCTTTCACTCTACTCTATGAGTTTCATAGTAGCACAGATTGTAGCACGCTGCTTTTTAAGTCATTCTTGTACATATAAAGAGATTCCAAGACATATTAAAACCTTTTTTTAAGACTATAGCAGGCAAAAAGTTATCAGTATATTTTGTGAATAACTAACCAACTTGGTCCTTTAGCATGTGCATATATGTATACTGATCAAATGTAAAAGGTTAAACAGCTGTGTTATGTTTCTGAAACTGCCCTCAAGAGATTTGAATGAACAATTAGTGTCGGGGAACATTAGCCTCATCTTACTAAAAAAAGTTTTTTTTATGTGTCGTAACTGTAGCTACAGTGGTTGCATCTCACAGTGCATGAAACATAAAAACGTGTACTTGGATTCTAGTACATATTATTAAAAACTGAACTGAATAAATCCAGATTTCTTCACTGTGGTGAAACTCTTACCATAAGACCTGAGCTGCAGTGTGCGCTGGTTTTTGTTACTTTCAATTGAAGAGAGAATAATGTTGTTTTCTTTGCACAGCGTCGAGATCTTACAGCCTGTTGGTAACTGCGGATCCCCAGAAGCCACAACCGAGGCACTACCACCGCTACCATCACTGCAAATTCTGCGACTACAAGACTAATAACCTGCCCAACCTGAAAAGACACAACAGGATTCATACAGGCGAGCGGCCATACAAGTGCCACCTCTGTCCCCAGTCATTTAAGCAGAGCGGGCACCTCAGATCGCATATGCGTCAGCATGAACGCCAGTGACCATTTCTATGTACTACCTGTTGTTTGAGCTGTTTTGAACAGGTGCATTTGAGTAGCTGTTTGAGTGCACAGTGGCAGTGCTTTGTTGCATACATGGTGTAAGATGTATACTCTTTAAGTGAGGACACTTGCGAGATGCACGCGACCATAGAGAGTAAGAGCACTGTGGGCCCGTTGGTTCGATTATAGTGGCAGATACCTGTCAGCAGGAGAAAGAAACGTTGATACAAAAGAATGTTGCCGTAGAAGTTAGCGCCTCGCAAAATATCTGAACTTCCAAAACAGTGAACGTGGCCATGTCATGCTAGCTACTAAGACTGGAAATTGAAGTCGTGTATTACTGCGTTGTGAGACAGAAAAATGCAATCACATTATTTAATATAGAAACGGTGCATGAAACGTTTGCTCACTTGAAGTCGCATTGCTCCACTGATATACATATCCGCTGCCATCATCAGACCATTGAATGTGTGCAGTTGTTACATTGCTTAATTGGACAGACCTCAAAAGCAAGCTGATAAAGGTCCCCACCTAAAATATATATATATATGTATATTACACCATGGCTTCATAGAGCCATATAAAAGTTCTGAAGCTTGTAATGACATAGCTTCATTATTGTGACTACAGCGTTCTTGTAAATGTATTGTATAGTGACAATATTTTATTGCTTTTTCTATCGATTCATTGCACTGTTGTTTGCTGCCTAATCAAATATTTGTTGTAACGTCAATGAACACTTGTATATTTGTGTTATCATCAATGAAACTTCTGTCAGCTGCAAATTCTTTACATGAGCCGCTCTCATGAGCACACATGACAATATGGTACCAATGTATTATCAAATAGGTAATCAGCTGTGGAAGTGTACATTATTTACCAGCAGGTTGCGAGATCAAGTCCCAGCTGCGGCGGCTGCATTTTCGATGAAGGTGGAAATGTTGTAGGCTCGTGTGCTCAGATTTAGGTGCACGTTAAAGAACCCCAGGTGGTCGAAATTTCCGGCGCCCTCCATTACCGTGTCTCTCATAATCACATGGTAGTTTTGGGGCGTTAAACCGTACATAGCAATCAATCGAGTGAACATTATTTGATAATAAGTCTTAATTTGTGATATACTTACGTGTAATTCATGTCGGCATTCCAGGTAATGGGGGGGGGGGGGGGTATAGTTACTGAAATAGCAATTATAAAGACACTAGAACTGAAATCTTGCCATTGGTCTGGTATTTTATGTAACGTCTAGGTGCAATACGATCTTATTTTGTCCGGCACTTGAAGAAAAACCTACAAGAAAGCGGGCGACAGCATGCCCCGTAGTAGTCGGGAGATTGTAAAAAGAGAGATGGAATTCAGGGAATTGCCTCTTGCAAATGAAGGCCATCCATAATGCATGCGACAGGGACTGTTATGCTACGATTGCAGCAAGTTACAGTATCTGTGATCATGTAAAATTTGTAACGGCACTTGTCGGAATTGAGGATAGCCAGCTGGTATTGCGCGGGCTTTGTTGCTGTTCTCGTGTCGTAACAGTGACTCGCCCCTCCTCCGTGGTCCGTCAGCCCTGGGAGAGCAGGAGTGATGTTAGAACTCTCTCACCCGTTTTCGGAAGTCGACTGTGGCGCTGCGCTCAAATGTCCCGGGACGTTTCGCGCACAGCACGTCAGGAGTCAGTCAGAGACCTCTCGAAACAGCAAAAGGGTGAGCACACGTTTTATTTCCATCCGTCGGCTCCCTTTGCTTGGAGCTTGCTCAGAGTCGCCAACGGTGCCTTGGGACTCCGGCGAACGCTAGGCCGAAGAGCAGTGCGCAGTGTCCTTGTGCAAGGTGTACTATGCCGACCCGTACCTCATTAAGTGAACGCGATTGGAGTTTGCCCTCGCTCGGACGATCAGGCCCTGCGTTCACAGATCGTTAGAGCACGCAGCATAGTCGCGAGGGCCCGTTACTTTCACCGGTGTGTCACAGTGAATCCCTTTTTCCCACATGTGCTCGCGGCACCCTTTGTGTTCTACTTTTTGCTTGTGGCGTGGATAAGCCTCGTTTGCTTTCCCATCGCCTTTTGCATCGGGTGCAGAACTGCGTTTTTGGTGTTGCTGCAGGCGATAAAGTGTTGCGACTTGTTTGGGAGGGGCACCGTGTACTTGCCACTCTGGGCTCGGCACCTTGGCTGTTCGAACGAGCGTGTGCAGCGGTGTTAGTCATGCGAGGCGACGGTGAACGTGGCCCTGCGGTTCGCTAAGACCGAACCCACGCTAGTGGCCGTACCCCTTCGGTATACGCTGTACACTACATATTACATTTCATAGGATCAATTCGTTAACGACAACTTCTAGTTCCTTATGTTAGATACTATCTAAATAGAATACTTTATTCACTTTGTGTGGGCTGAAATTCTTGAAAATTTGCATATTTGCTAGAAAAGATGATTGTACGTGCATTGTTTTATCTCGAGTGCCAGTATGTTTACTCGCAGTTGATTCAGGTGTGCTATACTAGAACCAACATGAATGATTTGTTAAGTAGTAATGAAGCACCATTTTCAAGTTTTAAAATACACTAGCGACTGGCGTGCACTATTGCAAGTTATTGAAACTGTATGTAATGTAAATTTTTTTCTTCAGCTCTGGCCATCACTTTACATTTTTGTCACAGTGCACAGTGTAGGCTACTATTCCTTTTCTACGAGTTCGTCAATTACAAATAGGCTTTTGTTCTTTTTAAAGAACACATTGGAACACTGTTACATCACTTCTTTAAATTTTCTTTAAAGTTTAAATAGCCTTTGTCTTATGTGTAGCTTCTTAAACTTAAGCAAAACTGACCCACTTGATAGCTTAAGGAGATTGTGGAATGTTACTTTTCATTTCAGAGTCTGCCCTTCTTTAGTATTGCTTGATGTGCGATAAGATGGGGCCTTTCCATTTCTCGTTTTTTAACCTTTTTAACCTTTGTGTTTTGTGCATGTGAGCTTTTCTGACACTACTTTTTTTTATTGCCTGTAAATATTAGGGTTTATCTGTTTTCATTGTCCTCTTGCTTACAAGCACTTCATTGCATGAATGAAGCTTGGGCACTGTCCTTTCCTTAATCGCTTCTGTGAGTAATTTCACTGCACTATATAAACTACAATAGATGAAGCGCACCTTTCCTTGTTATATGCACCTTAATAAAGCCAAGGGATGCATAGAATCGGTTGAAGTGATAGAGGCAAATGTAGCTACATTGAGTCTGATGCATACATTGTACAGCTTATTGCTGACATTGTTGCAAGATTAGTCAGCATCGGGATTTGTAGTACCTCAACACTGAAATACAAGAGGATGTATTAAAGTGCTGTCGGCACACTTTGGTTGTACCAGATTGTGCAAATGAACACCATTCGGTCTCCGCATTCTCTCATTCTTTACAACTCTACTCGGGAACTCTACTGTGGAGCGCTCCTCTGCAACACCAACCTAGCCAAAATAAACGCTCTCATGTTCCTATCTCATAAAAATATGCTTATGGATGCCCTGCAACTCCTCTTAGCACTTTCGCATTGAAGTATTGAAAAAATATTCGCGGAATATTTTTCAAGGTCGTGAGCTTGGCAGATTGGTATTCAAATTTGCAGAGTCTGCCGAATGACTTGACAAGCGCAGCAAATGCTAATATAAGCTTTCTCATTGTTTGCTCAGTGGGGTAGTTCAAATTACCACTTTCATTAAAATAGCGGTGCTCATGTTCACACTGCATGATCTAGGTGAATGGTTTATACATAATTTTTTTTTTCTAAGATGTAATGTCTTATACTGCTCCAAATTTTGGTATTTCAAGACAAAATTTGCATGTTCTTTTTTTCTCCATAACCTGCTCCAAGTTTGAATTTTAGTGCTCCAAAAGTAACATTCCAAAAGTGCCATTCTAACAACACTTGAGTCTTATGAAGTAATCGAAGAATATAGTCTTATCACAAAAAACTACGAATCACTATGTCTAAAGAAGGGCACAAATGTATTTGCTGTTGTCTATCGCCATCCTAGTGGTTCTACGGCTGATTTCCTAACATTTATTGATCGTCTTTTGTCACATGCAAGTGTCATGGATTATATGCTTACTGTAGGTGGCGATTTCAACATAGATGTCTCAAAGAACTCAGCCACAAGTACTGAGTTTTTATCCGTGCCTTGAGTGCAACTCTTTTAAAAATGTCATTACTATGCCTACGCGTATTACTGAATCTACAGTGGCATTGCTAGACATGTTTGTTACAAACTCTACTGCAGAAGAAACAATTCCGCGCTGATCAGTTCTGACATAAGTGATCACTTGCCTATATTCATTTTTTTAAAGATGCATACAAATTTGGCTTATGTAAAACCGGAAAAATTCATGTACCGTTCAATAACACCAAATACGTTGGAGCACTTTAGGTGCCGCATCATGCAGACACATTGGGATGATATAATGGCTGATGAAGATGCAAACAACACATATAACAACTTTATTGCAACATTCAAGCAACATTTACTTCGAATCATTTCCTCTCAAGGCACATCACAGGTCAAGCAAATTGTGGAAGCCCCGGATAACAAACTACCTTAAGCGTCAGATAAACCATAAAAATAATCTTTAACAGCAGTTCGTCAAAACACGTAATGCGGACCTATGGGTTGAATACAAGGCTCTTAGAAATCGATTGAATAAGGAAAAAGAAAGGGCGAAAAGAGACTACTACAGTCGTATTTTTGACCTGGAACGTCCAGAGCAACGTAAATCCATGTGGAAAAAGTTAAATGAAGGATTGAACAGAGGAGCCCCTGCCATAAAAATAGATAATCTTGAAATAGATGGAAGGATATTAAATGGCATCGACCCTGCTGAAACATTTAATGACTTCTTTGTGAAAATAGGAAATGCCAGCCAGAGCGTGCAAACAACAACTGACATTACTCACTTATCAAACACACTTTTTCTTAAACCGACTTCCACATCTGAAGTAATTACGCTATTCGGTAAAATAAAAAATAGTCGGAGCTGTGATTCTGACGGCATACAAATGCGACCAATAAAGTGCCTATGTATTAGACCTCATAGCGGAAGTGCTAGCACATATGTACAACTTAGTGTTATCAACAGGTATTTTCCCAACCAACATGCAACTAGCGAAAGTTA